ACTTAAATGTTAAGTGTCAGTTTGGCCCTTTGTACTTCACCTGTGGTCAAATCAAAAGCAGAAACACCAGATTTTTCTCTTTGTTTAGATTAGTAAAAAAAATAAAGCATCAGCTGCCTATACAGCTAGGGTGTGACGAATTATGACAGAATAATAAAAACAATCTCCTTTCCCTCTATCTTATTGATGAAGAAAAGGCCATTCAAAAGTCCAGGAACAGGAATAGGAAGTTAAAAGCAGGTGCTCTGACCTAAATATGATCTACATGGTTCTATACAGTTTACAGTGATCAATCTGGTATGTTGATTGGTGTTAATGTTTAACAGTTTTTCTCCATTGGGTAAACATGAGACTCACTCTGAGCTGGTACTGGTTGTGTGGGTCTTTCTGTCTCAGGTCTTCTGGATTCAGTGAACCCTACATGTTATTTTCACTTCTCCTTTCACTGAAGTGAAACCTGTGTAGCCACAACTCTACAAAATCTTGCTGATGTCCATGGGTTTGTTTTGTGGCAAACACTTCTTTTCACCTTGTTTTTTCTTCATTCTTCCCTTACTCCTAAATAGTCTCAACAAGATCACAGAAGATCTTGGAACTTGATATAAACATGCTATGACCATTGGCAATCTGGGTGCTCTCGATCACAAATATAGAAAAACTGGGGTGGGTTGGTTTGTTGCTTGGTTGGTTGGTTGGCTGGTTGGTTAGTAGTGTGGCTTTTATTGTTTGTTTGTTGTTGGGTTGCTTTGTTTTGTTTTGCTTTTATGCTAGCCATTACCAATAGGTGTGTCCAGAATATCTGAAAAATGAATGATTCAGAAATTTATAATTTATGTTAAACTCTAACAAGGAATTTAATTTCTTTTCAGGCTTTGGAGTCTAATGGGTCATTGCTGTTTCCAAGAGTGAAGGTTCTAAAAGCCCGTCGTGCAATATGAGATATAACCTTAGATTATCTGAGCACATTAGTGACATTTTAGCATTTTACATTTAATTAATGTGTACCTTAAGCTTCAACAGCAGAGTCCCCACTGCCCTGCAGGCTATGCTAGCTGAATGAATGTGATTGATTATTCTAGTTATATTGAAAAAAGTCCAGTTTCATGACATTTAACATCGGTGGAATGTTGGTGTGTGCCATTGAATAATAAGTTTAAATATAGTTTGCTGAACCAGCATTTGGAGTAGCTTTTAAAAGCTGTCATTGACCATCAAGAATAAAATGTCAATTACTACATTCTTAATTCTTTCATAATGTAGCACAGGGGTGTAAAGAGACATACATATTTTATCCTTTAATTCTCTCATTCTGTTGTTCTAAATCCTAGTTACATGATGAATGTTCACGCTCTAGTTTGCATAAAACAAAGCTTGGTTTCAATCTTTTAGCCAATTGCAACATCTGCCCTACAAGGTTTTTCCATTTTGTATACAGGCTTCCCTGAAGATATAAATATGGTCTTCCTAATAAACACATTTCAAATGTCTCCGGAGAGAGAAACCATAGAGGGATTAGGATGTGGCATTACGAGACTCACTAAAAATGTTTGATTTACCTTAGCATGAGAGATGGAGCTCACCATGACTTTGACATAAACCTAGCACCAAAAAGGAGTGTAAATAAGAGCAGAATGTGGTTCCTGATATTTTCATAGTAATAGTGGCTTAAAACTAGAGTAAGAGATTCTCCTTAATGTAATGAGGCATACTTGTGAGCAATGCTTCTGTGGACCCAGGGAGTGGGTGCACAGACAAGCCATTCTGTCTCTTGGTATAACAAGGGGACATCCTGCCTTTTCAGCTGAACTGATCCTTTATGTTACTTACTATAGAAGTAAATATGTGAAAGTAAACTGTAAAAAGTACTAGCTCTCTTGATTTTTAAAAATAAATGTATCCTTGGTAGTGCAGTCTGCTATAATGTGACAGGGCAAGTGTTAGGAAGATCTTTAGAAGTTCATTTAATCCATCTAACACTGCTTACTACCTTTAGTTTAGAATGATAGAAGTGTCTTATTGGTTTGGATCTGTTTCACACTTGACTTCAAGTGAATACTTGGCCACAATCAAACTTCCTGACCCAGTCAAAGCACTGTAAAAGCATCTGTGACCTGTCTGGTTTGCCAGTTACAGGGTGTGAATGGGAGGGTGACTCTGGTCTCCTATACCCTAAGTTTTGCTGTAGGAAACTGTTGTGTATTTGGACAAGAAGGTATTAGAATAATGAATAAGCATAAATGAAATAATGGTCTTTTGGGGGGGAAGTGCAGTTTTGGGGCCATAAGACACCTAAATTTGGTAAAGTTTACAGTAAGGCTTAAGATTTTTCCTTTATGTTACTTTTCTATATGCACTTTACACATTATTCATACTCTGTGCGTTTGAAATATGTCATATTTTTAGAGAACTTGCTGATATAGAGTCTAAAGTTAGAAATGTATCTCACTGAAAAGCAAGCTTTGATACCTAGCTGGAGATGCCATCGCTGATGTCATGCTCAAAAGAGGTGACTGGTGGTTGTGTATTCACAGATCCCAAAGCTGAGGCCACACATTGAATCTGAGAAGTGTTTCTAAGGTGTGGCGCCCAAGAGGCTTCATAACATTAGTGTTCTCTAAAATTACATTTCCATAATTTAGAACAGATTCAGATCTGTTCTAAATTCAAGACGGTGACAAAGAATGTAATACTCTGTAGTTAATAGGGTCATTAAAATTATTTATATATCAGTCATAGTTTGGTGCAAAGTCAATGTTTATCACTATTTCTAGGTGGAACTACTGTTTGATAGTATTTGACCTGAATGCAAATACTCTCTCTAATCCCACTTTGCCTTTGAATCCTACTCTAACTGAAATTTAGAAGAGCTTTTCACCCTACAAAGATTTCTCTGAAAAGCAACTGTTGGAAAGCCTGAGCATGAAATTAATTTCATCAGGTCTTTGCAGTTTTAGACATTAATAATGTGGTCACTTAACTCAGAAGAGTAGTAATGGAAAATTGGTGTATTCACTTCTAGCTCATTGGTTTACATCTGGTCAGATTGGTAATAGCACTTTTTCTGTATATTTGGTGATTATTCGATAATTGATATCAAAGATTCCTTTGTTCCTGAAGATCTCTTTCATCCAGGTCTTCAAATACACTGAATGGATTTGAACTCAGTGTCATTTTCCATAAGCACTGTAAAATGTTTTTAAAGGAAATAGGTCAATGACCCCTTAGATTAATTGTGCTGATGCATAATAATACTAGTACTAATACTAATCTAATAATAATAAAGAATCTTTTATGGTGTCTCATATATTTTGGGCAGCAAGGCTGTGTGTTATATATCTTGATTTTAAGAACAAACTCTTCTCTTCAATGTAAGGCATTAGTAGAGCTGAATGCTTTCTAGTGATGAAGAGAGACAGGCTAGGATATTGTTTGTTACACAATTGAGAACATTTTGGTTACAGGAGCTCAAATTGCTGAAACTGATCCTGATGGTAAGGATACTCAATTATCTAAATTTTATCTTACTGTTTGTTGAGAAGAAATGTCAAAGGATTGCTGGAAATTTTGATGAGCAATTCACGTTAAAAATTTAACTGTGGTAGCATTTGCTGTTGAACTGAGTACTATTTAAATAAATTGGAACTAATTACATTTGGGATGTATTTTATAAGTCCCAGCAAAGGCTGGTACTTAAAAGTCCATCTACTGTTGCCTTTCATTAGAGGTTAGGCATCTAATTTCTAGCTCAAGATATCAGAGACAATGAATGTCTAAAAAAATCATGACTGAATATATGAGAACTTCTTGAACAACGTTGGTCTCACTCAATTGAAAATATCCATCTGTATTTTGGGCTTCCTGATAAGCAGAGCCAGCTATTAGAGCCAGTCCAAATAAGCATAATGAAAATTTTTTCATTGCCCAGAGTATCAGTTTTCCTGTATGCCAAGTTTTGATGTGGTACTAGCATTCTTCCTACCAATTGCTCTTTCATGACAGCTGGATAAACTTTCAAATATCAGTGAAAGTGTTACTATTTTTTTTTTTTTAGCCAGTGCAATGTTTCTATCTTGATAGATTGTGAAAAATGGATTAGTAAAAGATACAATTCCTCCTATTATAATGAAGTAACATAGTGTGACCATGGATTCTGAACATTTTTACTGTTTGTCACTGGATTCTGAACATTTTTACTGAGTTTGTCCCTGATAGGAGCCATCAATTGAAAGGAGACCACGAATTAAAATACTCCTTGTCAGAGACATGAAAAGATTATCTGTTCACAATGAACTAAAAGGATAATGAGAGATTTCTATGTAGCTGTGAGTATCCAATTCAGCACATGAAATCTCTCTCGATCATCTTCCTCAAAGTGTCATGTTCCAAGCTCATAAAAATGAGAGATATTTTAGCATGATTCATGGAAACATACATTTTATGTTTGAAAGACCTAATGCTAATTATAATAACAGTCTAAGTAATGGCATTATAATAAGTCTAATGATATTTTTTTTTCATTTGGTCTGATATTTAGGTCCTATATATTTGTCCAAGAGGAAAAAAAAAAACAAAAACCTGTGTTCCTTTATTCCAGATTCTTCTTGCAAAAGCTGACACAAATATTAGGTATTGTGGATCTAGGAATGTTATCTTGATAACTGAGGAATGAAACAAGCTTGGTGACAGAACCTAATTTATAGATGCTGAATTTTAGAAAGAAAGCATTAAAATTCACACCATGCTGTTGTATACAGCCCATCTCTCTTTTCAAAGGCTATGTGTATATTAAAATTCAGTTTCACCAAATAGATTACCATTTACCTTCCCAATGTACACGCACAAGATACATATTTAAGCACGTTCTATTGGTAGGTGTTGCAGAGCTGGGCCGGTGACAAGCCTGCAGAGCCGTTCGCGTTTCTCATCTGGCAGAGCTGAAGCGCGTCCGCCGGCGTTCACCTCGGCGGGCCGGATCAGCGCAGATCCCCAAGCGCCTTGTCCAAAAGGGGATGAAGCGTGCGAGGAGCCCCGCGGGCGGCGCGGGGGAGGATGCAGGGCCGTGCCGTGCCGGGGAGCTCGCCCAGGGCTGCCGGGTTGCTACAGCAACCGGGGCTTTGTTTGTACATAGCGGGAGCAGCTGCCTCCCTCCCGCCTCCCTCCCGCCCGGCTGGGCTGCGGCAGGGCCGGGCCGGCCGCTCCCTCCGCCGCGGGGCCGCTGCGGCCCTAAGGACACGAACGGTGCTCCGAGAGATCAAGTCCCACTGAAAGAAAAAGGCTGCCACCTGAAACAGTAGCACTCTCTCTGGTATTGTGCTATCTGTGTATTTGTCTTTTGTATCTGTAATCTGTCTGGGTCTTTGTGAAGCAGAAGGTTTGGGTTAGTGGCCCTCTGATTTCAAGGCAGAAGAATGTAACTAAAACATACTTGAGGACAAGTAGTATTACAGGTTAACGGCAGAATATAATAGGAACCTTCCTCATTCTATAAACATCTTTGAAGAGAGTGTCCTTAATTCAGTCCTTTTTGATCTACCATTCACATAATTTAAGAACAGATAAATAGGAAGTAAAAACCACTAATATTTGTTCATTAAAGATGACTATTCATCACATTTATACTAGTGTGGGCTTTGGAAAGCTGTTCTTCAAAGAAGATTTGCAGATGGTCATCACAAAGCTGAGTGCCCTTTCATAGCATGCAAACCTCTATCAGCGGCCAGAACATTCTTTTCAGAAAATGTGACTACATAAACATAGATTAGAAGGAGCAAAGAAACTCACAGCAAATTAGTTCTCACCTAACACTGTCTTTTTCATGTAACAGTTGTTGTATGTCAAAGGCAGTAGGGTTAGCTCAGCAGCCCTCAGAGGGCTGACAGTAATTGAATAACCAGATTGAATTTTTGTTGACTTTTTGCATGCACAACATTTGCATGTACAGAAATTGCACAACATTTGCATGTACAGAATTTGCACAACTTTAACAAGAGTTTCCCTAGAGACATAACCTCCATATGACCTTCACATATTTTTACCTTTTCTTCACTGCATTAAGTACCAAAAAAAGAGAAATTAGATTGATTTTTTTAAAGAGCTGGAGACAGCAATGGGAAATTATGAGGATGCGACACCAAAAGAAATACAGATTATGAATGTTTCTGTAAATAAAAGGCTTTCAAAACAATGGTAATTCAGCAGTAAATGAAAAGCCTAACTGATCACTCTTGGGATTCTTATAATTTAAAAAAAACAAAAAAAAAAAAAAAACAAAAAACAAACAAAAAAAAAACAACCCCAAAAAAAACCCAAAAAACCCCAACCCTAAACCAGGTTAAAATTACATTGAATGTAATTTATGATTTCATTACAATTACATATGGAGAGGATAGTGTACTTCTCTACTTAAGTGACACTGTTCCAGATATAAAAGTGCTTGAGATCTTACAAATATGAAGGTAACAGTACAGCAAAAGATGATAATATATCTGATGTTTCACTTGAAAATATCAATTTTTATGAGTAACACATTGATTTAGATACCTAGTCTACTCACAGATGAGATCATTTGAGCCTTAAATTCTGGCCAGATGAGACTGGCTGAGAAAGATGTTTAAAATGTATTGAAAATCTCATAGTGAACTCTGTCTCAAGAGGAGGAATTGAGACTGTGAAAGTCAAACCTAGTAAGCTACAATTCAGACGTGTCTGGCTTCTGTCTTGCTCTCAGTTCTTTGACAGTGCTTGCTGCCTTTGAGATTACTGGTTTCCCTGAACCTGACTAACCAATTTTTTTTTTTCCTTTTGCATAGGTGAGGCTGCACTTCAATAGTGTAAGATTTATATCTATTTACCCTCACAAGAAGTAAAATATTATATATTTTTTTAAATGGAAATGTTGAAAATGGTCTGATTATACTCACTTCACTTATTTCATCAACCTGCTCTTACAATATTTGCAGTATACCTCCTACAGTGATTTTCCAAAGATATGAGTGAATAGCTGATGACAACATATCTAAAGGTGACATTGCTCCAGATTTTTGTTTCTGTTAAAAGTCCTTAAAGTATAAAGACTATATAGCAGGGGTTTTGTGTCAACAGTGGTGCTTTATCTCTGAGAATAGAAACCCTGGTCAACTAATCTGGGCAGAAAGCGGACAGAATCAACAGGCTTGTAATTTTACTTGTACAAGAATTTGCTCCTAAGAGACAATCTTTTCCTATAAACATTTAGAGTGAAATATTAATGATATTTTTAGTAATATAACAGCCATGCCTAAAGGAAGCAAGAGTGAACAGTCAGTCAGGAGAAGATTGGTTTGAGGAATAAAGGCTATCTTTTCCCGCAGATAGTCTATGGGGTTTAAATTATTTTCCTGTATTTCTTCTTTTATTTGGATTACTACTATACTTGGCTTCATGTTTTAGAAATTTACATTTAAAATTTGCTGACTGTGCCCTGGATGTTGAAAACCAGTTAGGGAAAAAAAAGAGCATTTCATTTAAAACCAGAGAAAATGCATTCTTCATTAGAAGTTCAGCCTCAGGACGTAAATTACAAGGAGGTTTCAGATTAATATTACCTCATTATTTTTTAGCAAAGGTATCATAGAACAGCTCCATCTATGATCTGCAATATTCTAAATTATTAAAACCCAACAACAAGTACTACAGTAAATGAACAAAGTTCACATCATCGTCCATTATTCTTTAGTTTTAATCACACAGGTGAAACTCATTACCCTGTGAAGGGAAACACAAAACTCGCTTCAGTGGTGTACAGCTGAAATGGAACTTAATCTGTACATTAGCAGTGGTTTCTCTGGGCCATTATCCTACATCAAACTGAACTTGAAATAATTTGTCAGTCCATGGTATTCTGTAATTCCTGGCAGGGTGGGGGGACAGACTATTTTAGTCAGTTCCAGTGAGAATAACTAAATTCTTGCATTAGAAGCTGTAGTTGGGGGATGCTTTAGACTGGAGGAGAAGCCCCTTTAATGAAATATGGATTCTGGTGTTCAGCCTTGTTTTTAAACCCCATTCTGTGTATTAATTATTAATTAGCCATACTGAAGTGGAAGCAGTTATATTTAGATCATAGCTGCCAGTAACCAAATTTCAAGTGGTGTTCTGGTTTCATATGTTTGTGGGATAAAATGCTGCACCCAGTGGGGTAAAAAAAAGTAAAAAAACCCCACCCCACATAAAATTAATTATACTGAAATATTAAAACAAAAAACAGGTACAGTGAGTGTCTCAGTCCCTTTTCACCTCTGAGAGAGAAATGATGGAAAAACACGGAGCTCTTAACCCTGTAATGGGGAAAGGGGAAACAAGGAAAAAAAAATATCCAAACTACCCATTGCTCTTATGGAGAGGAAAGAATCGTCATCATGAGTAAGAATAGCAAAGGGATTCCCTCTCTGCTCAGAGAGGGGACAGAAGGGGAAGGGAATTCCCTCTCTCCATTGGGAAAGAACAGAAGGGAAGGGAATTCCCTTTGTTGCATTTATGCTTTGAGCTCTAATTAATCTTGAATGTTTTGTACTCCTGCTAACATCAAAGCAGTTCTGTACATCAGGCAAAACTTGCTTTCCTTGAGCTGAAGAAAGTCAGCCTTGAAATTCTCATGGAACGTATGGATTTATGTCATTGCTGTCATGTGGCCAGATGCAGTCCATAACATTTAAATACAATCTAAAAGGGAGCTTGGTTGCTTTAGCCTCAGGCTTGGAGAGATTTCAGTTACAGCTTAAGATTTGTTTTTCTATGATTTAATTGTCACTTCAGTTAAAGGGCAAGCAGCAGAGGTGCCAGTAGAGCAGCAAAAAGCGCCAGGAGCAACATATGGGACTGAAATTCCTTATAAAGTAAGGATCCCATGAACACAGTTGCCTGCAGGGGGAATGTTGCATAAACAAATATTTAACAAGGAAAAACAGTGAGGTCTTTGCAGTAATAATACAAATACCCTAAAATAGATAACGAAGACATATAAATCCCACAGTTTCCTTGGCGTGCACCAGCCCATGCGCACATGCTTGAAATAGTGTGGATAATGCCTCTGTTGTAAAGAGGTTTCGAGCTTTGTAATTCTAGTTTAGGATGAGGAGGGGGCAGTGCTGGCTACTGTGACCTTCTAGAAATCCACTTGGCATTCCCACTTCCAAGCAAGGTTAGCTCTGACTAATTTTCTGAATGGTTTGATGACTGGAAAAAGTAGCAACTGATCAGATGCCATTGTGATCATGTCGCAAGGGAAAGGTTACAATGTTCAAAGACTGTTTTATACATATTTCATTGGTTAAAAGGTTGAATTTCTTATCCTGAAGGAACATCAGGACTTGGTTATTTCTCTTGCCTTTATCTCCTTACTGTACGTGCAAAGGTAATGCTAATTAATGCCTGGATGGAAAAATCAGATAGTGTATCACCACAGAGAAAACTTGAATTGCTAATTTCTAAAATTTCTGCCCAAATTTGATTTAAGTACATACATACCACAATCAACAGTTGATTTGGGACTTGTTACAGTGAACTGAGGACACAAGCAATTTCAGATGTATATAATTTGCTGTACAGTTCCCAGAAGATACAGGTATTATCTTCACCCATAATGGACAATATCTTAAATAACACTTAGCATAGGCAGAAGAGTTTGTTTTACAGCGGTGGTTGTAACTAGGCTGTGGTTCTAGCAATCCTTGTAAAAGGACAGTAGGGGGTGGAGACTAGATGTTTGCTTGGAAAAAACAAGCTTCTAGTATAGGTAGATGTGAATGGTATAAGTGTTTTGACCTATTTTAATTTGGTTCACCTGTGTTTGAAGAGATGTGGGGAAACCACCTGCCCACATTGCCTTTCCTCAAAGTGAAGACTTGAGACAAATATATCACCCAAATATATCACCCTTCTATAATTTATCAATTTTTTTTTTCTGATTCTGCCTGCAGAGCAACCTCTGTATGAAAAGCTGTTCTCAGGGTAAATAAGGAAATGCATGAAAAAAATCTGGGGGAGTTACCAAATCTGATCTTATCTTTCATGTCACTATGTTTTAAGGCACTGAAGTTGTAGAGAAGAAAGCACTTAAAAACCAAATTGTAACATTGTTTTTCTCCCCTTGACATATAACACACATCATTGTGTTTGGGGATTTTTACATGACAATTTGCTGGGTATTTATACCCGATCCTAGTTGTAGAGTGTGACAAGATCACTGAAAGAACTCTTTTTTTGTAATTTATCAATCATAAATTTAAATACACGGGAAAGTGCTTTCAAGAGTTTCATTAAACATTTACAAGTGCCACAGCAATTGTCTGACTTAAATTTATTTTTACACAAGGAAATATTTTTCACTGCAGTATTTGTATAATAAACTAGTGGCCCGTTGAAAAGATCGTATCACATATTTTAAACAGTACTCCTCCTGTTCTCCTAGTTTACACTTAGCTCAAAACAAATTTAAAAAATTGAGCTAAAACAGGAAAATGGCTGACATTGTTACAGCAGGTTCAGGGAAGAATAAATGCGTGAGGGAAAGAGAAAATAACCTCTGCGACCAAAAATAACATCCACTAATGCTGAAGTTGGGGATAAGCAAGTATTCAAATTTTTTCTAAATGTCACTGAAGTGACTTTTACTAGTAGTTTAGCATTAATATGATCAGTCTAGAATTTAAGTTTTGCAATTAAAGCAAGATAATATTGAGACCATGGAAGAATACCTATAATCCTGCTAGGGAAAATGGTGATAGGGAAAAAAAAAAAACAGTAATATTGGAGCAACAAACATACAGAGGAAATTTTAGGAGGAGCAACACAGTTTCAAAGTGTTTTGAATGCACCTTTGACAGGAAAGCAATGACAGGCAGAGGAATAGCTCTCCTGCCACTTCATTTATGGAAAGCCACTTGCTGTGAGGTAGCTGGGATCTGAAAGGTGCAGTTTGCTACACGTAGATACCAAAAAGCTGTTTGCAAGGAAACAGTATGGCACAACAGCCTGGAACCAATCTTCTCACGCCCACCCTAAAGTGCTATTTACAAGCAATTCACCCACTGCAATATGGTTATTTGAATGCAACAGAGGACATGGGAAATGTGTATTTTGCTAGAGAAAAGTGACATTGCCAGGTCCCATTAAAAATCTGTTAATAGTACAGAAGGGAGGTCAGAGGAGCCCTCTGAATTGAGTGAAAATAGTCCAAACTCTGAGAACAATCCAGCTGGCTGGCCCAACATTGTTCCAAGAAGTTGTAGTAACCCTTGGTGCTGGCACAGCTCAAATCATTCATTAACACTTGTGGTATCTCAGTTGACTGTATCATAGACCAAGTTCTTGGGAAGCTGGACTGTGACACAAGACAGCTGTTACTCAGGATAAAGGTGGTGCATGAGCTGAACTCATCAGTGTTAGACTGTATATAATGGGAAAAGGCAAACTGTCTCATGGAACAATACAAAGATGAGAGGGGAAAACACTGCAGACACAGTTTATGATTACCAAAATTCATCAGCTGTTACTGAGAAAATGCATTTGGTTAACTTACTGTTCACTAAGTTTCAGAAATAAAGTTAGATTTTGCATTCCTGAGTTTCATTTTGTTTATACTGCCACAAATTGTGGCTTACGTCCCAGGGTCTCTGTCTTGAGCTGATTATTATTGATGCTGTGTTGAAAAAGAAAATTTTCATGCCTGTTCATTAAAATGTTCTCAGTGACTCTAGCAAAGACCACAGGCTGTTATACCAGTTGTTAAATGTGGAACTATTCACCCATTTTTCAATCATGTATTAAAGCTCTATAATCAAGAGAACAGAGAGGAAAAAAGAGAGAATAAATTTTTGAAAGCACATAGATTTAAGGAAAGATCTTGACTTCACATTGCTAGAAAGCAAAGTTTGATGCGTGCAAAGCTACTGCTGGGTAATCAGGGAATATCATTAATACTTGGTTAAGGGAGTTAATACCATTAATACTTGGTTAGGGAGACTTTTTGAGATCAAGAATACTTTGACTATATTTTTCCATCTGGTTAAGGGGAGTCAGATAATATAAAAAAGTTAGAGTAATACAAAAAATTAACCGAGATTCTTGGATGGCAGGTATCAAGCAGTTAAGTACATGTTCTACAGTTACTACTCTTGATGCTTCTGGACACTTTTACAAAGTTTGTCCTGAGGACCTTTCCACATGCATTCAAATGTGCTAAAAGGTGCCAGACCTTTCCTTACAATTTTGTCTGTGCAACTCCACCATGAAATAGAGGGCTGATGAGCTGAACAATGTACTGCTGCTATACCGTCCTACAATTTTTGCATTGTTCTTTGATTTTAAGAGCCAACCTCCCAAAATATCAGGAAAATAGAAATATGCTTTCTCAGCTAATCCTTGTGCTTGGCTATGCCCAACCATATCCTGAAGCAAAAGCAGAGAAAATCATTCCTGTACTACAGAAGCCATGTTCGTTGACACAGACAGAAATGGCTTGTAAGAATAATTTAGATACCTCTTAAATACCCAGGCACAAAAATACTGGCAACATTGCCATATTATGAAATATGCAGTTAGGTAGTAATCTGCTTTTCATATGATTTTTTAGGTGGCACAGAAACAGTAATCCTCTGGCTGTAATAGAGTATTTGGTGTCTGTTGTGCTTGATGTTGCATAATGTGAAAGGGAAAATACAAAAGATTAGAATATGGCCAAGATTAAGGTGTGTGAGAATAATGTTTCAGAGCCTAGACCTCAAAACAAATGAAAATGAACTGGTGTAGCTAAGTTGGCAAATGAGGAAAAATATGGTTAAAAGTAAGTCTTATGTATAAGTTGACTGAATTAAATACGGCTTGAGAGTTAGGGGAATATTTTTTTAAATAAATTATTTAAAGAATATTCTCCTCGTTTCCTGACTCAAGTGTTTTCAGTCCTTTCCAAATGGATTAATGAAGACTGCCAGGGAGAAATAGAAATTGCCATTAAAGTTTAACAGTGAAAGTTCACCGTTTTTATTCAGTCCACTTCAAGTAGGTTCATGGTAAACAATAAAAAAAAGTTGATAATTAATACAATTTTAGAGGGACAAGTTTTGATAGAAAGTTTGATACTACGATGTATGGCAAGATTTTAGCCAGAGGTAAATTTGACAGCTATGAAAATGTCTTTCTAATGTACCTTGGGATTTTTAAAAAAAAATTATGAACACTGAAACTAAAAAACTAAAAAACATTATCCAAAAGCAAGTTATAGTTTCAAAAATATAAATAGAATCCACATATATTAGCATGATTTTCAGTCAAAGACTTTTAAAAACCCCATTTATTATGTTCCCTTCTTGTTAGTGCTGCTACTGCTGATGGTGGGACAGACGAGAAGTTATGTGGCAATATCCTTATGACATGACAGAGAACCCTCCAAACAAGCCTGTTGTGATACAACACTAATTCAGTAACATCAAGTTTCTAATTTGTCACTTTTCCAGACATGATGTTTTATTTCAAGTAAGTCTCATTATTTGTTTTGGTTTTGGTTTTTGATGTTGGGTTTTGTTGGCTTGTTATTTTTTGTTTGGTTGGAGTTTTTTCCATTTCAGATACCTGACATTTGGACTAAGTTCTAAAAAAAAAGTCAATGTCATAAGTAACATCTGGATGGGGATTATCTGGCACTCCAGCCAGCAAGGCGAAGCAAAAAAGTGACTAAGCAAATAGCTGCTCTTTTAATCTTGTGTGCATCCTGCTGTTCATAGTCGAGTGGCTCTACCGCATTTCCCCGTGTGATTGTAATTCACCATCAGCCGTCTTTAACTTATCCTGTGCTGCATGCCAGTAATGGCAGCTGATAGCAGGTCTGTCTGGGACTCCAGTTGTGTTCAATTGCTTTACTACATTTTAGTTTACTGATGATTTCTTTCCTGCTAAATTTGTCTGTGGCTTTAAATGTGGAAGTTCCAGAGAAACTGTGTATTGAAAAAGCTTTTATTGTGGTTTTGCTTGCTAGTCTGTAATCTGCACATTCCCTGAAACACATCCTCACCAGTGCCTTCCTCTCTGGCTGTTTTTTCAGATAGACTCAATTTCATATCTGAATTCCCTCATTGTATTTTTTATACTTTTCATACTTAAAATTATCTAAAGTTAAACAGAACACAAATTAGGAGAACAGAATCATATCTGAAGTCATAACAGAGTAGAAAACTGTATTTTACTTGCACATTCCCATTAAAGTCAAGGACACTACACAAGCAGAAGACAGTTCAGAACCAGCTTTGATCCATAACTACTTCTATTGTGCACGAGGATTTACAACTTTTTTAGCTACTTGGTGTAAGGACACATGACACTTACTTCAGTGGGAGATATCTGGTTCATTAAACTTAACAATTAGCTTCAAGAAAATCTATACATTGGATTAGTTAAATCATCTTTTGCAGATACAGAAGTTCTCATTAATTAGTAGCAGGAATAATTTGAGCTTTACTGAAATATCAATCAGGATTAAATGTGTTATATAATTTATTCATTAGGCAACACAATTATGCTGAAGTTTAAAAAGAAATTCTGTAACCGAGCAACATAAAGGAAAATATACAGCTACACTTTATAAAACAGCAAAAGAAATTATTAGACATGATACAAGTAGGAACTTATGCCATTAAAAGGGAAGATGCATTACGGCTTTCTTGCTACAATTTTATTGAATTGAAGCTGTCTTGAATATTTGAGTATCGCCATCAACATGTTTATTTTCTTTCATATTTGCAGGGGCTAAAAGATTACTAAAGCAATTTACTTTCCTTGTCCCACAAATCCCCCACTGCAAAGCAAAGTAGAATTATTTTAAAAACAGAATATGGGGAAAATATTTTAACAGTGCACTATTACTGGAAACTTATATAAGGATACAAGTAATGACTGCTCTAGTTCAGTATCACCCGGCAACATCAGGAAAATAAAGCAGCATAGGTAAGAGAGTTGGGTATATTTTGATCTTCACTAATAAGCAAAAACAAATAGGGGAATTCCAAAGCAAAGCATGTCCTTCATTTTTCTAATCATAAGTTAAAAGCAAGGAAGAAATGCATCATTCTCAGTCCTGATAAACCCTCTCCTGGCCTATCTTTTTGATTTTTAAATACCACTCCAAGTTAGCTTAATATGTACTTGCATACAGTTTTTAACCCCAGTTCTAATTTCAGTTAAACTGATACACACATCTGGGACAATTTTAGTGAAGCGGAGTTGCTGCAAAGATACATTCAAAACAGAGAATAGCTGACTGAAAAAGGCCAAAATACATTTGGGTATCTTTAGTTTTGGGGTTCAATTGTAGAATAATGTTTTTAAAATCCTTTCTACTATTTGCAATAAAGGGATCAGAACTTTGCAGACTTTGATTGGAACTGCTAGAAAGTGCTTTTGAGCTCTTGCTTAACAGCTTGAAAGGCATTAAGTTTTAGTCTCAGTTTATCCTGTCACAGTAAAAGGCCTAAGTGATTTCAATCTGTGCTGTATGAGACTAATCCTTTCATTAGGTCTCAGCCGCATGTTTCTGCACCTAACAAAGTCTGGTATGAAACAGTTTTTCTAGGAAATTTGAAAGAAGAAATATGAATAGATTTCTTCAAAACAAGTAATTTCAATCACAGTTGTAGTTAATTAGTAAGGAACCAAACTTTCTCTATCAATGTGGGTTTTGCTGTTTTTTATTCCTCTGATCTTCCTGACTGCCTGCTGGCATAACTTCCTGAACACTTTGCATTTACAATCCTCATACCCAAAGACCTACTTAAAAAGTATCGATATGGATTAGCAAGAAAACCAAGACATTTAAGCCAGGAATTGAACTATCTGTTTTTGTGCATGTGTACAAATGCATTATACCCACAGATCTTTGAAGTACAGCTTTAGTCTTGTATCAGGGCCATATCAGAGACTGCTCTGACACTCAGAGCTGCCAGAAACCTGGCATCCAGCTGTAAAAACTCTTTACAACTAACTCTTTCTACATGCATGATACAAGGTGCTTATAGAGAATCTAGCCAGTTGTGTTGTCCTAAGCGATCCCGTGGATGATAACAGCACTATAAATGGCTTTATAATTTTATTTTTACCAAATACATTGGAGGAGAAGGCTACTGCATTCATCTTTGTTGCACAGAGGCCTTCAAAATCAGGAATACTATTTAGCTGTTTGTTTTGGTATTATTATTTTATCTTTATATATATAAAATGACAAAGAGTGAGTATATATATCACTTTAGCAAAAAATGTTTCTGAAATTAAATATAAGAAGCTTTAAGATTAAATTTATTACATTTTTTATTTTAAATAAAAAACAAATAGTAAATGCAGAATGAGCCCAGAAACTATTTATGACTTTGCATTTATTTGGGAAATTTTCCATCAAAGAAAATGGATGTAAATTTTAAAAGTTAGTACATTTCCTTGAGACATAGCTTCATGCTATGAAATTGTAAATTGCACCACTGATGAGGCATTTTATGGATAACAAGATTCCTTTTGACAACTTTCTCACCTTGTAGCAGTAGTTCTGGATTTTTTTTTTTTCTCATTGACTTTATATTTCTTTATTACTCACTATCTCCTTTCCCCAGCCCAACTCTGCTCTTTTGTCTGACTAGGAGCAGTTTTATTTTCCTCTCCAGTTTTCAGTTCACCAAATCACCAAATTGTGATTCATATCATTCTCAGATATGATACTATATGATATGATACTCATAATATGAGTGGCTCACACTGGTTCATTCCCAACCCGAGTGGTTAACACTTAACTGGAATGCAGAGGTGTTATGGTGTTTCTCTCTAATAATGTATGTATCAGCGAGCTTTTGTCTGTGGCTTCTGCTGCTGGGGCAGCCTTCATAAAAGGATGATGACGAGAGTTGCCAGTGGTAGATTTTCATACAAACTGCGCTAATTTTGGCTGCTCCTTGTATGTTCAAACACTATGGTGAAGTAAGCCATTAGGGTATCTGTATCCCTAGTAAAAATTTCATTCCTCAGTTTTCTTCTCTTATTTTCATTTGGATGCTGGGATGCAGAGCTAAATTGTACCTCTGTATTAAAATAGCTGTTAGCAGTCTTAACAACCTCTGCAGAATTCAAACCAGTCATCTTTATTACAAATAGAGTACCACAGTATTTGAGTACCACAAATAGAGTACTACATGCTACAAGTGAAGCCCTAAGATAATTTATTGTGCCATACACATGAATATTTAACTCTTGAAGGAGGACTGCTACATTTTAAAATAAGCATTAAATTAAATATCAGTAATGCAATTTCAATTATGATTAGGTTAATGGGTCTAGTCCTATTTCTGCAATAGGCTGGAAGAAATTGCTCGAGTGATGTAACAACACTGTGCATTGTAATTTAGTATCTATTTATCTTTCTCTAGCAATGCAAGTCTATTTAAGAGAAATCAAAGTACTTAATGCAGTATATGTTAGTCTTTAAACTGTCTTTCTGTAATATTTAGGGCCTTGTTTATTTTTAAATGTTATGATTATTTCTATAAATGTCAATTATTTGTATCACACTCCCACTATTTGTGCAACTACAGTAAGTATTTTGCTGCATAATTCAAAGTAGGGTGAAGGCCTTTATGGTTGAGATCACAGTAGGTTTTTAAGCTCACCAGAAAACCATGATTTCAAGCCCCACACCAAGACTTGGACAGAAACCCAGAAGTGATGCTGCAATGCAGTATTAGAGATAATACTGCATTTGATGTTCAGTCTTTAGGATGAAATGATAAGTTTGTGTTTGCTTCATTAACCTTGAGTCGTGGTTTTGTGGAAATGGTTCAAAGTGATGCTTTTGAAAAAGAACGTATAATAACCCTATTTCCTGGTCAGCTGTCATTTCTCCTCCTACTCAGTATTCAAAAATTCTCTTACAAGCTGTTAGTGAGCACACAGTAGTTGTTCTTTTACACATCCGATAGGTATGTCCCTATTTTGGGAAGTACTCAGAGATGAGGATAAAAGTATCAGGTCACATTCTGGTTTTTCACTTCCAACACTCTCTCTTGGCTGTAGAGGTTTTAAGAAAAAAATGTGCACTGAAGTGACTGTTTGAAGAGTTCTGGCGATCTGGGGCATGGCAGTAAAAGTCCTGCCATCTTTGAAATTGGTGAAACATGTAGCACTGTGTTGATAAATAGGAAAGCTTGTAATACCATCCACCAACTCTTGCATGAGGATACAAAGGATAAAGATTCCTGAATTTTCCATCTACTCATTTTACATGAGTGGAAGACTGGAAAATCAATTAACATGTGTATGGGTACCTACTTAGATTTTGCCCTCGTCCCTGAAGTATCTGGATGCTTCATACAGATCTTGTTCTTAATCTGCTGTCTGCTCAACTTCCACCACCTGCTTATTTGCCTAAGTATGGCATGGAATGCTTTTATTCAGTGAAATAGTTTAAGGAATAATGGATAAATAATTTCTAAGGAACTTTGTATTTG